ACTTGAACCTTTTTTGTCTTTTTAAGGGTCCCTTTCAGTTCTGAGAGTTGCTAAATCCAGCATATGTTTCACTTATAAATCACTGAATTGTGTTAAGCAACATTTTTGAAAATATAAGCAATATGGATTATCTTTTATTCACTAAAATGTCACTTTAATATTCTTATTTTTTCATTGAGAACCAGTAAAAATTACAGGGCTTTAAGTACAGAATTGAAGAATTGAAGTTGGGAGTCAGCCTGCTTCCTGTCTCTGCCACTGACCAGTTGGCTAATCTTAGTCAACTTACTTGACCGTTCTAAATCCATGTTTCCTCAGTTCTGATGTATAGGTAATAATGGTAACTCCAGTTAAGTAATACATCGAAGTTATAGGTAAAGTGAGGTATGTAGTGGGTATTAGAACATGTTAGTCCTAAAACCACCACTTAGAATAGTAAGTTTGGCATTAAAAGCCAAAGCTATAATCATATGGAGCATTAATACATTTTGTTAAGCTAACTTAAATTTATGACTGTTCCCTAGTAGGCTGAGTATTTATGGAAGGCAAGGAGTCTGTCAAGTTCATCAATCAGGATACAGGATATTTACCTGGCACACAGATCTTCAATATATATCACTATATTAATTGTGACTGAGAAATAAAACCTAGCAAGAAAGACTGTGCAAGCTTTGTGTTTGACTCCACAGTCTGACCTCTGAATAATGAACATCACAAGTTTATCCACAAGTTTATCAGGTCCCAACTGGGGAACCCAGTGGGTGCAGGTTGAACTATGGGGCTGACAAGGTGCTGCACTGCACCCTCTAATTACATTTTTGGTGAGTTTTTTTTATTTCACTACTTTATGGGAACTCCCAGTGATCAGCCACTGGATCTTTTGGCTAAAGCTAAGTTAGGAGAGCACTATGCTGGATGCGAGCCTGCAGATAGTCTGGGGAGCAAGGCAGAGCCACCAAAGGCAGCTCAGGCTATGAACTCTCTGTCTGATTCATCGCTAGAGACAAAATATCAGCAACTGTGACTGCTGGCAGGTCAGCGCAGTACAGCTTGCAGATGGATTACTCATCCCATTCTGTGCTTTCCTAGACAGGGAACACACTCTTTTTGTCAAAAAAAAAAAAAAAAATTCAAAAGCCTTAGTATTTTCATGAGACTTGTGATTGACTAATCATCTCACTGCATTTATTTTAAGTACACTTCTCAGTCACTGATATATATTGTTTCATGTTGTTTTTTAAAAAGGGTATCACGAGTTTTCATTAAATATACTACTGAGTGAGAAAATGAGTGACAACTCATTTTCTGAAAATATTGTCACCTTATTGAAAAAAAATTTTTAAGAAGTTTACATTCCTCTCTGCATCCCCCATGACAGTGAGAGCTGTTCTGTCCAGTTGACTTAGAGGTTTCCACATTTATTATCTGACAAGGATTTAGGACTAGCATGTTTTTGGGAATGGGAGAAAAGGGGTTTAAAACTAATTTATAGGAATAACTATAGGACATATATCTTCTTATATAATTATAGGAATTATATAATATAGAATGTATAATTACAAGGATATAATTTATATGCATATAAGCTACCATTATCAGGGTTTATCAAAAATACTTTAGATTTCTTGAAACAAAATGATCACACTGAGGCAGCAAAATATACTGTTCTTACTTTACTGAGAAGGTTAATGCTCACATTTTCTGAACAGATAGTTTTATCATTTATCAAGGAATGACATGATCTAAAAGCAATAAACAACAGCATGCTATGGATGCTATTGACTTTACAAGTCAAATAGAGTCTTCCAAATCAATATGTTATGATGTTTTTACAATTACACAGAAAAAACTACAGCTATACTGATTACCCTTTTCAATACCTCGCAATAATCAAATAAAAATGCAGTTTTAATTACTTCATAAAACAGCTAAAATCTATATTATGTAAGCCATATATAATATGTCTCCTTTTAAAATTCTATATAAGATTTTTTAAAAATAGATTGTTCAAGTTTAATGTTTTGTTCTTTAAATAAAAGAGGTAGAACTAAAACAAAATCACTGAAACTGCTTAATACAACTTGAGTGAAAGATTTCTATTGAATTCTGAAATTTTTGTCACATGTGTGAATTCTTAACAATGTGCATTGTCTAACTATTAATAACTAGGGAATTTTCTCTTGATTTACATGCTAATTCTATATTATACAGGTATTAATTATTTTCAGAAAATAAACTTATTTCTAATAGTTGTATTTGTCACTACTTATGAATAATATTTCACTTATGCCACATTAATTTAGAACCCCTTTCCTAGTTTATGAACATAAATCTAATATTCATAATAATAAAAGCATTAGAATACTGATATTAATAATATAAATTTTAATTTGCCATTAAGCCAATTTAAAATGTCAGATGGAGAAAGATACTGTATGATTTCATTTAATGTGGTATATAAAGAAATTAAGTAAACAAATGAAATAAATAAAACAAAAATAAACATTTAGACAAGAAGATCATATTAGTGATTACCAGAAGGAAAGGAAAAAGAATGGTGGGTAAATCAGATAAATGGAGCCAATTATACGGGAAAGGATAAAACTGGACTTTTCAAAGTAAACTTTAGTTTATACAGCTGTTGATTTACAGGGGTGAATACCTGAAAATCATATAATGTTACAATTCAATGGTACTTCAATACAATTATTTTAAAATTAAACAAAATAAATACTATATTATAGCAATTAAGGTAATAATAAAAGGAGTCACAGCTTTCCTATGCACAAACATTAATCCACTCTGCTATGCTACTTATGCTAAAGGCAGTCAGTCTGCTGTGCTGAATCTCCTTCTTCCTGATTTCAGAGATACCGTGGGGAATAAAACCAGCACACAAAGAGCTCAGGACATCAGGTAGAAGGACACCATCATTAAACAACTCTATGCATCAGTATAGCAGATGTATTAGGAGGAACTTCTCTTAATAAGAGTAGTTTTATTCACAAACATTAGAGCTTCACTTTTCACATGAGAGAAAGTAAATAAGACATACTTCCTGAGAACACTCAGAGCACTTTGAAAGGGGGAAAACACTGAAATCAAGAGGAAATGAACATAAAATTTAGGTCACTGCTAAATTAATATTTTTCTGTATGGGTTTTCCTTTACCAATTGCTTTTATAAGCACTTCACATCTCAGTATTTAGGCTAAATGCATTGAAAATCTTGTTTTTCCACTGATGCTCCATTAGCAAAAGTGACCTCTGCTATGTCAAGGTCTAAGCTATTTCAAAGCAAGGAGAAAGTTGGGGGAACTTTGTGCCCAACAACAAATCTTAAGTCACATCTGACATATATTTCCCACAGTGACCCCGAGATGTCTGCTTCTTCAGAAGGCTCAATCTGCTACATATGGAGTCAGTGTCTAAAGCATCTTTAGTTTAAACCACTATTTCTTTTTTCTAAAATATGTGTCCCTGGCAACTACTTATTCCTAGTCACCCTAAATAAATGTCCTTCAGAGGATGAAATTATGCCTTCCCCACTGAATTTGGGTCTCCATTCACACCATCTGAAAGTTTATCACCATTTTCTTTTATTCATGCCAATAAGTATTGCATATAAGAAGAAATATGGGAAAAATTACAAATTGTATTTCTTTACTGATCTAGGAAACAGAAACTGCAAAAGCTACCAGAAGCTTATCTCTTCATTTTCCTTATACACACCTGGAATCCTTTTCTTCTTCATATTCTCATCAAATCTTGCAAAGAATGAAGATGGCAACCCTGTTTTGCATATCCTGACATTCCTCAAACTACTAAAAACCTTTGCTCAATAAACATCTGCTATCTTTTTTTTTTTTTTTGCATCTGCATCCTGTTCCCTTCCTGTGTTCCATCTTCTAAGCAGATGAAAATACTGCCTCCTCCTTCTGCACAAAGCGCGGCCTGTGTTTAAAACTACAGCCTTCTCGTCATCATCATAGTCAAATTCTGAAAGTGTAGTCTCCATATTCTACTTCTACTTCTTCACATCCACTTCACTTTCTAAATCATAGTAATCCAGAATTGTCTAATATTAGCACTATAAGTCCCATAATCAGGAAAATTTGAGTTCCAGATGAACTGGGACAGTTGGGCATTTTAAATGCCTTCACTCAAAATCTTCACCTCCAATCACTGTTCTAATTCATAAAGTAAGACGACCTATCTTTAATCCAATCTCCTCTGTTTATGGCCATAATCTGCTAGTTCAAAGTCTCATCTGTGTACAGCCTTGCTCCTAATGAGAATGACTCCCTTACTCTGTTATCACATGGATTTTTCTGAAAGTCAAATCTGATTGGTCTTCAAAAATTCATTTCCTGAATGCTCTTTAACAAATTCCTTTGTTAAAACTTCTACAGGTCCTTTTCTACCAGTATCTTCTTGTCACTCATTTCTTCTTTCTTCCCTTAAACCTGACCCATAAGGACTGCCACTCTCCTATGCAGCCTCACATGTCTACAGCCTGACGCATGGTACTGTCCTTTGCTGGAAGTCATCTTCTAAGGTGTTGGCCTGTCTTTGTCCTCTGCATCTCAGCTCAAGCACAGCCTCCTCTTGGAAGTCATCCACACTCTTCCGACAGATGATTACCCTTGGCCTGTATCTCTTCTCTTTCACACACTTATCTCACTAAATTCAAATCACCTTTGTTTCTCCTTCCTTACCAAAAGACCAAGTCCTGAGAAGCAGAACCACACATTTCCCCTTTATAGTACCATGTGAGCAGAGTTTCTATCTCAACAAATTATTGTTGAATTTATGTTTAATGAAAAAATAACATTATTTTCTAGTCCTTTCATTGAGAGGTGGTTGGATACATAGAATGTTATAAATGGGAATTTCCTGTCAGTTTTTTACCCTAAATGCCCTTACACAATTAGTCAACAAGTTATATCCAGTACATGAAACTTTCACCAAAACTTATAAAAGGGTTGATAGTCTACTTACTGTTCTTGCATCCCATATTGACAGAGTCTTATCTGCAGAACCTGTGAGAAGAGTGTTCGAGCAAGGAAAAAACTCTATGGTGTTCACAGAATCGGTGTGTCCATACAAAGTGCACCTACATCTTTCACTGTAGAGAGGGAAATTAAGATTCAAGGTTTTAGGAGTTAGCAATCACATGTTTTCTATGCTGTTGACACAATGCTAATAAAGATAATTCTAATAAAGGTAAAATAGGTACCTGAGATATAAAGTAGCGTTATAAGAAAAACATTTTAAAACACTCCTACAACCAACCACCTTATAGTCTAAACAACCTATAGAACAAAGAAAATAAAAAGGACTATATTTAAATAATCACCAATTTATAAATTATTTGTTAATACCAACTTTTTATTATTTTATTTCTTACCATGAAATGATTACATAACAATCATCCCCATCTAAAAAAAAGTCTGCTAAGAAAATACTTCACTAACGCGAGATTCCCCACAATTTACCATCCAGAACAAATCAATATAGAATTTTTTCAAAAGTACTGTGCATGGGCTCTCCCTGGTGGCACAACAGTTTAGTTAAAGCAAGGCATTATGAAGCTCTATGAAGCCACTGCAGCACGAGTTCGATCCCCTGCCAGGGAGCTGACCCACATGGCATGGAAGACCTCCTCTGACCTGCCTGCTGCTACCCTCAGCAGTGTGCTTTGTCAATCTGCCTGTTCTGCTCCCCACTCTGTCTCTGACTTTGTCTCTGTCTCACCCATCACACCTCTGGCCTGTACCCCAGTTCCGTAAGCATAAATAAATAAATCTTAAAAAAAAAAAGTGCTGTGCAGATGTAGAGATAGAAAATGTGTCCCAGATATGTTTCTGTGAGTACCTGTATGTATATTGACATACACACACACACACACACACACACACATGCATCTACTATATCAATGTGTACATATATATATACATATATATATTAAAGATTTATTTATTCACACAGAAATGGGGTATAAGCCAGAGATGCGGGGGGGAGGGGAGGTGAGAGGCTTTACCAGAGACAGAGTAGGGAGCAGAACAGGCAGATCAATGAAGTACACTGCTGAGGGGAGCAGCGGGGTGGGCCAGGAGAGGTCTGCCACACCATGTGGATCACCTCCAGGGTGGGGATTGAACACAATGAAGTAGCTGCGCTAGCTTGCAGTGCTGCGTCTTAACCTGCTGCGCCACCAGAGAGGGTCCATCAATGTATATATTGATCCATTCTTATCAAGCACGGCTCCATGACACACATGCCTGCATCTTTACAGGCAGGCAGTCTTTGATATTTGGAATAGTCACTAATAAGCACACATATTTTCTGCTTTCTAGAGGCACTGCATTTCATAGATTCTTGGAGGTGCTTTAATATTAATTCCAATGGAAGTATGAAGGAAAAGAAGTGTAAAGAAATAGGCAAAATCCACAGAAGTTTTCCAGCAAAAAACAATTGAGAAAAAATAAAATCACTACAGATAACAACATAAAAAAGAATGATGATCTCTGAACACTATCAATCAAATATTAAAGTATAATAATTATTATATTAACCAACTCATGAGATATACTTGAAAGATTTACACTTGAAAGAATTATATTACTTGTGCCAAAACTAAGCATTATTATTTATAAATAGTTTGTAAGAGGTAACTTTTAAAAGGCTGTATTTATTAAACAGACTAAACCTGAACAGGATTTGTATTATTGTTTCATTAAAACATGAAAACCTATAAAAATTATGCTATTTTCAAAAACAGTTTACATACCGACTTTTCCTTTAAAACAAAAGCCTGCCTATTTGTGAAATTTAGTAAATATAAGAGTATTGTAAGTGTGAGTATATATCTTATTTCAATGAAGATCCAACCAAATAACACACACATGCACAAAATGTATAATGTAGTAAAGTGTGTTTTTACACATTTTTTATTCTCTATTGATAAAATAAGGTGCACATTCACAATTCATATTCAGGCTTTGTCTGCTGTCATTAAAGACAATTCAATTATCTGGGAGTATATTCATTTAGAGAGTGGAGTAGAGGAAGCAATTCTTTGATGATATATTACAGCTCACATATTTTTTCCCAATGAAAAGAAAAAGATGGATCTTCCATAGTTTAAGGGAAGAAAGAACTGCTCAAGGCAGAAAGAAATCCGCTCACAAGTTTAAAGGTGTGGGCATTGCAGGCAGACAGGCTGCAAGAGCAGGCTTGTGAGATTAATTAGCTGCCAGGGAAGGAAGTCCCATTCAGAATTCCTTTGCAAGGTGAAAATGGACTAAAGTGATGGAGCATGACAGTACTGCAAGGGATGGAAATGATTTGTACATTTCCATCAAAAACATAAACACCGAAGCCCCAAGCAATTTTCTCTCTGTTGCCGTGTCCGCTGTTTTCCTCTCATTTTTGACTGAAGAAGTTAGTTCACCAACAATAGCTCTTGCTTAACTCACCTCTAGCTTTGCCTTTATTTCTCTTTGTCTTCTTTATTTGCTTTCTCTGCCCCCTTGATTTAATTTATTACTCTGGTAACTGCATAAGGGATATTTCTCTGAACTATCAACTTGCTTAGAAATGAATTTATCTGCTCTTTTAGATACATTCTCATTTAAAAATGTATTCCTACTCACATCCAAACTCATAAGAGGATACTGTTTTAACACAAAGCTTTCCTTTGTAAGACATTAACACTTAAGGGTTTTATTTCCTTTAGTGTGCTATTTAATATTATTAATATTGGACAAGAAATTGTTCCCTTAAAATTCCAGGTTTGTATGAATTCTCAATCCACAGTTTACAGATAAGGAAATCCAAGGACACAGTAACTGGGGAATTTTCTCTATATGACAAAGGTAGTTAGTGGTAGAATCAGGTTTTTGTGTTGACAATTGGGCCTCCTGAAATTTGTCATGCCGGGGTTAGTCAGAACCTCAAACCAGGCAATGCTACACCTCAGGCTTCCATATTTCCGAGAATGGGTTTACAAACAGACTGCCTGATGCTAAATGTCTTCAGTTTATGCAGAATTTGTTTACATCAAATTCATATTAATTAATTTTTAAAGTTAAAAAATCCCTATTCAGGCCCTCCCTGGTTGCACAGCAGTTTAAAGCATAACACTGAGAAGCTAAAGCCACTTCAGCAAGAGTTCGAACCCCACCCGCCCTGGAGGTGATCACATGGCGTGGCAGACCTCTCTTGACCTGCCCACTGATCCCCTCAGCAGTGTACTTCATCGATCTGCCTGTTCTGCTCCCCACTCTGTGTCTGGTGAATCCTCTCACTGCCCTTGTATCTTTGGCCTGTACCCCAGTTCTGTATGCACAAACAAATAAATTAAAAAAAAAATCCCTATTTGTATTTTGATACTACACTACATTGTGTTGACTTGTTTCCTTTGTATCCTTAATGTATTTGTTATTCTTTATTTTTTACTTCACCACATTTGATACTGTGGTTTATAAGAATGGATGCCAAAACGAGTATAAGTGTCTCTCCCAGTTCATAAAGATACAATAGCAAACTATTTCTTTAGTAATATAGAACTTTCTCCTACTTTCAGAGCACAGGTGTATTTTGCCATGTAAATGTCCTTAGGAGTGTGGTATTTATGACACAGTCTAAGCTGATTCAGAATATTATCTTTTTTTCTGAATATTATTAAAGAGGACAGAAAGAGAAGGTCACACTGCTAGCTGACTCTTATGGTCTGAGTTTATGGAAGTTAATAGACTAAATAAAATGGTTGCTTATGCTTTAGAACCTGTGTCTTATGATGTGGAACGAAGAAAGTCAATTTTTCATGTGCCTGAAACTCAGATGTGAGTAAGAAAGAGTGAAAGCTCCCATGTGACAATCTTGTGGTACTACTTTATCACATTATGCAGATGGGTCAGATTTTTAATTATTATTATTAATTTTTTGCTTCCTAAAATTCCATGATTTGAACTATCAAGTAACCATTTAATGTCTTGGTTTTTATATACCAAAAAGTCAAAAGTTTTTTTTTTAATAAAAAGTTTTTTTTAATGTATCATTTGCTCTAATTAAAAGGAAATATACTAGTTTTAAAGATGATCATAATTTACTATAAATTAAATATGTAACATTAAACACTTTAAATCCACAAACCATTTCTGAAATTTTCCATTCAAACACCTATAAAATATTTCAATAGAAGATGCTTACATATAACTACACTGACACATTTGATTTTTACACCTTTCCCAGTCAACTCTGAAAGAAATCTTCATCAGAAATCAGATGCCAAAAATGAAAAAAGTTAATGACAAAAGTCAAGATTACTGATTTATGTCCTTGAATTCTCTCCCTTCCATCAGTCATGTCTACAGTTATATGTTCCATGAAAATTCAGACCTTATCTATCATGTTCCATGATGAACAGTGGTAAGACTGGCTACTTAATACATGATATAATTAATGAAACTGCAAATCTTTATGAACTGTGAAGACACCATTACTTCCCAATATTAACTCTCAATCTGATACCCTTCCCTATCTCCTAAAATACTGAATATGCTATTTAAGAATAAATTTACTGAGTTTTATGTGGATTTCAAATACCTTAAAAAAGAAAGGGTTATACAATGAAACAAATGATCTAGAAATTAATTCCTCCTGAAGGGATTATAGAAACTGTCGGTATTTTAGTTGGTATTTTCCCATCTAAATGTAGAATTTAGTTAGCTTGAACTTCTCATTTTAACTCAAGTTTAATTTTATGAATGAAAACCTCTACCAAGTATTACACTGCTCATTTCTGACACTATCCTTGATGGTATCAATCGAAGGACCAATTTTTCCATTGTGTTTGAATGATGATAGAATTGATCAGAAGAATGGGGGTGGGGGAGTAGTTTAAGCCTTCATTTTGCCACAGCCTGTCAAGTATACAATGTCTGTCCCTCACAACTAAATTAATCCTCCTCTTGCTGCCAGCATCTGACCAAAGCGACTTGGTACAAAGTGATGATTTGAGAATCTTATTTTTGGAAACTCAGTTACCAGGTGTCTTTTTTTTTTTTTACTACCAAGTACTCCTATCCCCCCTTTCAATTGGAAACAAAAGTTGTGTAGTAA